GCACGCGCACACGCACACACACACGCGCACACGCACACACACACGCACACACACACACACACACACACACACACACACACACACACACACACACAAACCAAGCCCTTTCACTCTCGATTGTTGGCACTTTAATGACCAAAATTGAGTCGATAGTGCCGTAAGACACCTACTCAATCAATCAACTCTCAATTGTTCGGTTCATCTCCCTCCTCCTCACCCATTGTTAGTCCGTCTCCTCTCTCTCTCTCTTTCTCTCTCTCTCTCTCTCTCTCTCTCTCTCTCTCTCTCTCAAATAATCCAGTGTATATAAAACACACGTTGGTGCCCTCTTCTTTCAGGAGCAAGTTTTCTGGGCAGTGTGAATACAAACAAAACTAAATGATGCAAAGAAGAAAATTGCACACCATTTCGTAATATTTACTATATTTTAAAAACATTCTATTTAATAATCATTTTTGGATGACGACTCTGAGCCATTAGACTCTTGTTTGGCACTTGGCCCTCCAAATGGGGCAATTCGGAGAAAAGCTGTCGGACCAGAACATCTTTAGGACCTTCATGTCTGCATACGCTCGTACTTGGTAGCTTTGCTGGTCAGCGGGCTCTTATAGAGGGGTTCCAGGGTCTGGAGTCTTGCAGTGCGCTTCTTTTCCACCGGCTTCATAATGATTGAGGTGTGAAACGGACAATTCCAGCTCTCTCTATACTGCATTAGCTGTGGATGGGTCTGTGAGATGCCGATTTCAAGCAGAGGTCGAGTGGGTATAAGGCAGGAGACACGGTAGTACGGTTTAAGGTTTTCTGACACATTCTGGAATACAGTTTGTGTCATCCCTCTTATCTGGAGCAGAGAGGGTTTCCAAAGGGCTGTCTCGAATTGCTCCACCCAACTGGCTGGCATATCTACAATGACCTTCTCATTCTAACTGCTATGTTTCTGTCGCATTCCATGTAGCTGTGGCCTCTCACTAGAAATTAGATTTTCACTTGTTCGTACCTTTCCTAGTGGACAACAACATGACAGAGATACCAGATCACCGTCTAGTTCTTGTTTTGGCCTGCGCACGAGTTACATTGCAGGCAGAATGTGAATAAAGTAAGAAGCAGCATGCTGGCCACATCGTCTCCACCCTTTCTGCCTATTGTCTCGTAACAGTACAGGCGTACTGTTTCATCACTCAGAGAGTAGAGTTTAAAGGAGAAGAAAAACAACGGCCAACGTTTGTACAAATTGTTTGCCAAGATGTTTGGGCAGCCCAAGTTCTTCGAAAAATTAAAGGTTAGCGTAACATGGGTGCCGATGAAGATTTTTCAGTTTAGCAGCGCATATAAGAACAGTACGGGGTTCGAGCCTCAGCCCAGTCCGACGTTGTGTCCTTGAGAAAGGCACTTTACAAGAATTTCTAATTTTGGCTCGGTCCTTTCGGGGATGGACTTAAACTCGGAGGTCCTGCCTCTTAAATAACCCAATAGTGTTCACAGGGGCGGTAAACCTATACCATTTCACCATTTTTCAATAAAATATGACAACTGATTGGTCACAAAGCGACGCAACAAAGAAAAGTATGCGTGACATTGCTGGTTTCTCCGTTGTTAGGCATCGCTGGTTCTTTCACTGTGGGCTATATGTCCTAACCCTCACAGAGACTGGCAACGCTGGTTTTTCCGTATGTGACTTATATGGGCTAATGCAGACCCAGCCAGGCATCATGCTGGGTCAATAACCCAGAAAATGAAAAAAAAAATGACATCGCTGGTTTTTCCCTTGTGCCCTTAATTTACATACCGCTACTTTGGAATTACAAAGTTCTATCTGGCATTTTTGGCCGGTTTCAGTTATTAAAACCATGAGATCGATCAGAAACCAAATATTCTATCTGCTCTATCAAAATCGTAAGACAATTCGAAGTCGTTATCAAGGTTTTCAAAGAATTGCATTCGAAAAAGCTTGACATGTTGTGAAACAAAATTCTTTTCGTCAAATTTCTCAAAACCAGGTACTGAGCAGACAGGGCTTTTGTAATTCTGGGTTAGTGATACGCACGACACAGCATATACCTTCATGTCAGTGTCCTACCATAATCAGACTTACCAAAGCTGAGTGCTGATACACGAAGGCCCGTGATACCCAGCGAACGATATGGCATTCGCTTCAGGTCTTCGACGTCATGGAAACCCTCAGTGTAAGTATCTGGAAGTGATCTGAAAAAAACAAATACCTTGGTAAGAACCATTTCAAGATGCATGCACTCACTCTCAGCTCAGAACGATATCTGAACGGTTCCAAGATTATTCGTTGCTTTTTGGGGTTTTTTTTTTTTCAAGACAGCAATGCAACAGAGAATTAGAAAAGCATACACGTCAATTCTGAAGGAAAGTGTACGGGATGATGTTACTAAAATTATTTGATCGAATCTGTAATTTATAAACAATGTATCTTTCAACACCCCCCCCCCCAAAAAAAAAAGAAAAGAATTGACACAATTTACATCATTTGGGGACGGCTGTCAGAGCCAACCCTGGCTGAGAGGTATACAACATACCAGTAGAAAGACCGAGATACTCGATAAAAAATCTCCCTACTGGGAAATCGAACTTGGGTCTCCTGCGTGCGACAGCCAAGTGTCTAACCACGCCACCACAGTGTCGTCAGGGAAAGCATTTCTTCGTAGTTTGGATTTAAAAGAGAAAAAAAAACCACGAGTGGCTAGAGGGTAACAAGTCTACGGAGAGGCTGACACTGCCGATTTCTTTTTTTTTTTTTTACCAGCCGCTGATCTCTGTCCTTTGAGATCTGGCACTTTAAAATGTAATAGACTATGTCAGATTGGGAACAGGCGTATTGTAATAGTTAAAGGAATTTTCCTGAGTGGAGTCTTTCCAAACAAAATTTTTGAAAAGGGTCGAAAACCCAACCCAATCAGAATTGTACTTGAAAAGAGACCAGACAATAATTCTGTTTTGTCGTAAGTTTTAGCAAAAGAAACAAAACGTCAAGCTAAAACAATTGAATTCATCAATTTTTCATTACGGACGAGGGCGGCTATAATTGTATTCACTTTATCTGCTGAAATAAGACGAAAAGCCACAGACAGACAATAAGAAAGTTCAAAACAAGCTGATGATAACTTTTGAATTCACGTTAAAGGTGAAACGACTCCATGGATAACGTGTACTTTAGCCCAACGATGTCGCTTTATACCAACTCTAAATGCAATATGAGAAAGTAATATCTCAAAATGAACCCCCCCCCCCCAACAAAAAACAAACAAAAAACAACAAAAAATAAAACAATTAAAAATACGTGGGGTTTTTTTTTTTACACAATCCGAGAGAACCATTGTATCCAAGCGATTCGTGCAAATACCGTGTATATTCTTTTATTGACACCACTCAAGAATCATCCACTGTTCGATCTTGTACATTTTTGCTACGGTGCTGAAGCAGTCCTTGTGTTCCCGTCGACTTCACCAATGATAGCATCTCACAGAAGACAATCACTTGACTTAAAAATGACATCCCAAGACTGCAGACCCGAAAGGCATTTAAACATTAAATTACAGCCACAGGAACAATTTCTTGTAACTAAATGCCCGACATAATTTGTTTGCTCGTCGAACGGTTGCACAATATGCCATATATCATATATCTGCATGAGTATGCAATTTTACGTAGTAAAGACACGGTGACCAGTACGCATTGCTTTGGGGCGAGGCAATGTGATACTATAGCTTTAATAAACAGAAACTAAACATCAGAGATGCAAGATTATAATATTAAAGTTTGAAATATTTTAGGAACGATTAATCCCCGTTCTCATCATCATCACCCCCCCCCCCTCCTTTCCTTCTTCTTTCAGTGCTCCTTTGACCAAGGGCTCCCGACGTTGGAAAAATCTGTCTCTGATAATTTTGCACTCGTGTTTCCTGGAGCTGAAGAGAAGTATGACAACACGAACACGTATCTGTTCTCTCCAGTATCTATTATGTTCTCTCAGTATCGTTTATTCATGCTGTTCTGTTCTGTAAGAATTTATGACTGTGTGAATTCATCAATGTGTGTGAAGGTGTCTGAGTAAGCTTTGCGGGATTGTCATTACTCAAGGATGTACTGGAGTGAGAGAGAGAGGAAGAGAGAGAGAGAGGAAGAGAGAGAGAGAGAGAGGAAGAGAGAGAGAAAGAGAGAGAGAGGAAGAGAGAGAGAGAGAGAGAGAGAGAGAGAGAGAGAGAGAGAGAGAGAGAGA